AGGACTAGAGATAATGAAGGTAAGGCTGCTTTGATTATTTATAGAGGTTCTCTGATTGGATAGATGGTGTAATTACTGATGATGGACTGGCCATGTTAATTATCTGCACATGCTCCTCCCGAAATTTGTTAATAAAACTTCACTCTGCGTTAACGGAGCGGCGGTACTGCATCTTCCTCTCTGGTCTTTCTTTCTTCTTTTTATTTTTTATTTATTTATTATTTTGCATATTCATTCTTGTTCTTTGTATACTTTCCCTTTTATTATTACTCTAAAGCAATTGTGATAAATGTGTAAACAATTAGGAAAACTGCATTTCCTGTGTTGTGTGTATAATTATCCGAATAGTTATCAGTTTAGGGCCAATCGAAAATATACCATGTTCATTTGATAAAATGACAAATTACAGTTTTGTTTGTTGTGTTTGGACAAATGGTACATAAATGTTTGTGATTTGTGTAAACCCTTTTATCAGGTATTTTAAAGTATTGGTTGGTTGTATTAACTATTGTGAAAACATTTGAGAGTTTTGTGCCCATTGTTTTGAGAAAATGATTTGCATGATTTGTAATTTGTATGAAATGAATGAAAACGTACAATCTGTTTAGGACCATTACAAAGTGCTCCGATCACTGTGTTAACTGTTTTGAGAACAGTGACCTGAGTTTGGAGAAATGTGTCAAATTGATTGAGAATAACTGTAAATGGGGCATTTTTTTTGTTTTTGTTTTTTGCTGCTGTGATTTAAAAAGCATTTTGCTGTGCTTAATGTGTACTTTACTCATTTCTTGTTTTCAGATGGGTCTTGTTAATAGTCTTGTAAACATCTTTTATTATTGTCTTATTATTAATGTCATCTGTCTCCTTGTGCTATTTAGGGATAACAGTATTAATTGTTTCCCTAATTTCTGAAAACATCTGTTCTGAAACGCATTACAAAATATCAACTAATTTGTGATATTTCCTAATATTGCAAAAGAATAACTGATGTCATGCGACACCTGTATGTGACCCTCTTAAAATGTATTATGCAGTGTGACTTTTAGTTTAAGATACACTAAAGATCAAGTTAAAGATACAATTTGTGATCAGTTAAAGTAGGCCACCTTAACAACACTTGTAAAAAAAAAGACTACAGCTAAAACAAAACCTTACGTTGATAAAGTATTCTCCCCTGGAGAAGCAGCAAGTTGTTGCTTGAAGACATTTACTTTTATACCATAAGCTGCAAGAATACAAATTGTGCTCTCGAGGGAGTAAGACAATGACATTCAGCGAGCGTTTGAAAATAAACAGGGAAAGATAACGCCTCAGGCATGGTCCAACATCAATGTGAGTTGAAAACACCACTTCATTAAGATGATCTGGTGATAAACAGCTTAAACACTGCAGGGGCGTTTTAACATAAGAACACAAACATTTACAGATCCAAGACAAACACTAACTCATCTAATTAGTTTCTAACTAGCACTTGCTCTGCATTGCCACATCATCAATGAGAATTAACACTTGAACTATACAAACTAAACATATACAAAATATAAAATACTAAACAATACCGTGATCATTTTAACACACTTATTTGCCTTGTTGAATATACATGCACACACACATACATACATACATACATACATATAAATATCAAAATGCTAAAAAATAGACATAATATATTTCAGCTTTATCGTCAAGATATTATGTATTTTTACCCATAATATCTTTCACAAACACTACCATACAAGCCCCTATATTCATTTCTACAAAGATGATTAGGACATGGGGTCAAGTCTGTGAGGATGAACACATGAAATCACCTTGCATCTGCCAGCATTGCCCTGACAACTGCCCAAGCTGCAACAAAAACAGCGGGAACACCTGAAATGAAACAAAGAAAGTGAAAGGTATATTTCAATGAACTGTATTTCATACACAGTGACATACACAAAAATAATGACTCATAACTCGAAGACTATAGCAAGGAGAGTCAAAGGGTTGGTATCGTTTGCTAGAAAACTTTCTGTACTTTCAGTGGAAAAAAATTATTTCATTTGGACATTCTCCTGCTAAGAAATAGCTGATAAAAATGTAAGAAAAATTTGAGTGCTCAAGAGAAATTTTTCATATTTGTCTTATTTGACATTCAATATCTCAGGACAGAAATAAGGTAGGAGGAAAATGCTTTTTTGACGATGTTCCCCAGCATGTTAGCTGTATTTGTGTCACATTTTGTGGTGATAGCATAAAGTATCCAAAAGTTACAGTATTTTGTAACAAAATAGGCCTTTTTGTTTAGCTCTTGACTCCCTGAAGGAATTTTAAAAACTGTTGTTTTCTGAGTGCCATACACAAAAATAATGACTCATAACTCCAAGACCGTAGCAAGGAGAGTCAAAAGGTAAGTATCGTCTGATAGAAATGTTTCTATATTTTTATGGGGGGAAAAAATCTTTGCATTTGAATATTCTCATGCTGAGAAATAGGTGATAAAATTTAAGAAAAATGAGTGTGGTCAAGGGAAATTTTTCATATCATTCTTATTTGACGTTCAATATCTCATGACAGGAATAAGGTAGAAGAAAAATTCTTTTTTTGGTGATGTTCCCCAACATGTGTGCTGTATGTGAATTACATTTTGTGGTGATATCATGAAGTAATCAAAAGTTACAGCATTTGGAACCGAGGTTGCCCTTCTCTTAGCCCTTTACAGTTTTGAAATTGTTGTTTTGAATTTGAAGTAATGCCTCACTCAAGTTTAGTCAAAGCCCCCCAAAAAATTATACTTGTTTTATTCTACTCGATGAGACCTTTCAAATGACATATGACACATGACTATCTGAGCTGTATGATATTTCTGACATATTAGAGTACATGGCACAAAAAAAAACATATTTTGTAAATTATGAATACTTTTTGTAATTTATCAGCAAATAACTCGGCACTACTGTAGAGTTAATCAAAGAGGCCACATGCATTGTAAAGCTCAGACTCTGATCAGTCTCAGATCAAGGCAGTGGTTTGAAAATTATGATTAGTAATATTGGGGGGGGGGGGGGGGGGGCGTCCCGTCCGCGGTACACTTCGGTTTAGAGGGAATGCTTAGCGCTCCTTAAGAGTTGATCAAAATACAATATTACACCCATTAAAAATACGAGATTCTAAGCTTTAAAATGATACCTATTTTGTGTTATTCCATTCAGGGGTTGCTTAGTAATTTGATTTTGAATTTTTTCGTGCGGGTGGTGTCGGGTTTAAAGGGTTAATATTATGTGGACTATCCTAACTAGAATGCAATGCTATTTTAGTTTACTAATTTAGTATGCGTTCAGTAAACCACAATAAATGGCATGAATAAAAGCTAACATCAAGTAAATGGATGTTAAAATGACTTAGGACATTTTAAGGAGGCATTGAAGCATGATTGAACCTTCAATGTCTCCCCAGGGGTTCAAGAGCACCTGCGGAGATTTGCACTCATAGATGGATACCCTGTGGAGTAATTTCAATAAAAAATACTGCTTGTTTACTTATTGCCAACGGAGTGTTTTTCATTCCAAACACTGAACAGGAAGAGCATCTGTTCTGTCTGGTACATCGTAAACTTGATTGAATATTTCAGTTCTGGCAGAATTTCAAAATTATTGTTATTATAAAATGTTTATTTATTTATTTATTTTACTTTCAATAGTTGCCTTCAATTCACAATCAGCCTTTGAAATTGAAAGAGCTAAAAACTCATTTTTGATTCTGATCATGGTTTTTATATGCATTACACAGCCCAGTAAACAAAATCAAGTTCAAATCTTTTGCTGACAGGAATACTGTATGTAATATATCATTTTGAAAGATTTTTTAATTAAAAAATAAATTAAAATCTAAATATTAATATTAATTCAAAATAATATATAGTATAATAATAAAGAGTAAATAAGAAATGAAAAATAGTATATAGAAATGTAATCTTTTGTTCTGCACAATAATTACTCAATTCACTTCAAACTGATCGACTAAGCCTAGACAGAATATCAGTTATTCATCTCAACATGACGAAATCATGGTTCTAAACTAAAGTTAAGACTAAAAGAGTAACTTTATTCCCACAGAAATTGGGATGCTGAAATGCAAACCATAATAATACTACAATTTGACTTTTAAGTATTTCTCTGCTTTTGGAAAACCCATAATGATGGTATTATTCAACAAATTTGAATATTAATTCATTTTTATCATGCATATTTAATCTTGAGTGGCTCAGCCACTAAATGAAAAATGCTGCTTCCTGTTGATGAGATGCATGGTATAACCTCAGAAAAACCAACAACACATCATGCATGAGCGTGTCAATCGAGGGTGCCCTCCTCTCAGACAGCAGTTCCCATGGCGATGATGGGGTAACTGTGGGAGTCTGGGATTATCTCGCTGAAATAATGTGTGCCCTGAGTCATACTACATTCTCTTCATGATACCACCGAAGGAATGGCGCTCATTTCATGTCCTTCAACAGGAACACATGCTGTTTTGGATCTGATCTGCTAGCCTCAAAATCTACTTGTCATTAAGACATTTTCCAGTAATTCGGGGAATAGGTGAGAAGTCATTCTGTGTATGAATTTCCCACTGTCACGGAATTTGAACTTTCATCTATTGAATCAATTCTTAAAGGTACAGTCCACCGAAAATGAAAATTTTATTATAATTTTTTACTCCTGTTGTTTCAATGATTTTCCTTCCCCCGTGGAACACAAAATAAAATATTGTGAAGAATATTTATGCAGTTCTTTAAAAAAATGTCTCATGCTCTAAAAAGGCAAATAAAAGCAACATAAAAGTACTTCATACAACATATGCAATATACACCAAGTGTTCTGAAGACATATGCTGATTTTACTGTTAGAAGTGTAAAGATGCATCAATATTACATATTCAGCAGCATACAATATATTTTTAATTTTAATTTGATCAATAATAAAAATTTACATTTTTAAATCCCAATAAATGGACATTCCTTATTCCAAATTCAATTGTGATATTGCAGATGTAAACATCTTTTGTGTATTTTTTGTCAGCATTCAACTATAGTGCAGAGTATGGAAACCTCAGACGAAGAAAAAAAATCATACAGGTTTGGAAAACATGAATGCGGGTAAGACAGATATGTCCACTCCTCATTTTGCTGAACTCTTTAAATAATTCTGAGACCAAAATTTTTCCTTTGCCACAATAATTATTGCATCACACAGCATGGCTTAGTTTCCTTCTCTTAGCAATGGCTCTATCAAATAAATATGAGCCCTTTATGTAACACACCCTCATTGTGCCCTTATTATAGGCAATGAAAAGTAAAGGACATGAATCACTCACATGATTCACTCATCCTCTGAACATGAATGATTTCGCCTCATTATGACTATTTTACCCCAATCAACGTGACATTATTGTGTACTACTTTCACAGACTTAACCCGTTGGTCATTAACAAGCCATGCCGAACACATTCACAAGCATGTAGTGAGCAGCCGCTCCTAGAACAGGGAATCTGCATATCAAAGGTGCTTCTATCTCTGCCCTTCCAGTAGGAACACATCAAACAGGAATGACAAATAAATAAAGAACACTTCAACTTGAAACCACTTAAGGAAGCAACCTCTCAAAACAAACTGCAGTGAGCTATCATTGTGCTGTTTCTCAGTGTGGGAGCGGAGAGAAGGGTATGAATACCACTTGCTATAAATAATAGCTGATTGGTTTTCACATGTAGACATTTCTAAAAGGAATACATAAGATATAGATTCAAAAGGCAGCCATCGCTGAGGTGGAATCTGTATGTTCAGCAATAGAAAGAAAGCACTGCATCCCTAGATAAACAACTGCAGAATATACGTGGGATGGCCACCAACATCCCCACTGAATTAATTTAACTGCTGGTTCGACTAACACAATGAACTCCATGCAGAGAACGGTTCTGCTGCCAGCAGTTGAGACAGTTGTTCGGTCTTTGTAATAGGATTAGACACTGTTCAGACAAGAAAGGTGATGAGAAATGGAATGAGACCTTGTTAATATTTAGTTCACAAACATCCTTGTATTGCATCACTGTCAAGGTTTAGCTGGTTGAAAATTTAATTGACTCTCTGTCAATTTAGTAAATTGTGTTTTTGGTGTAGTGTGTATTATAATGTGATTCCATTTGACAACACTGTAGCAAATTAGCTCAACAGGGAAATGTATATAAATAATTACAATTAATTATGATTCATTACAATTATTTATATGAGCTGCCAGTAGTAACTGTGGCAGAATTAAATTGCATGTAGTTATGGAAAATAAGTCAGTTAACCACCTAAGTGAAACCATCAGCGGCGTTTTTTGTTTCGTTTAGTTAAATATATGATACTTGCATTGCCTTGGCCTTGAATGAGTGTCCGGATGCAGTCTCGGATGAAAGTCTTGATGGTTTCAAGGTTTTGGACTTGCGATCACGTTCTTCCGGGTTTGAAGAGTGATGAATTCCAAAGATTCGATGGTGATTGGGAGTTTCTTCCCAGTGGAAAGTGAAAAAGAGCTAAGAGAGACATCAGCTGAGATCCTAGGATCTTTGGTGAATGGAAAGTCAAGGCCGAGGCCTGGCACGAACATAGGGTGTTCCTTAGAAGACTAGCTCAGCATCCCCATCTTCTCAGAATCTAACAGAACCGCAGACTGAAGGCGGGTCACTAATGTGAGGCCTTTATCTTCTATCGAGGTCACTCATCTGGGATTTCAAAGAGCCAATGGTGTCTTGAACTTTTGGAGGGAAAGTTTATGACTCTTTGTCTCAGAGCATGGTATTTTGCATATATAATTCGATTGGATGTTGATGCAAAAACTACTAAAGATTCTAAGCTATGAATTAATTAGAGAACAGTCCATTTCTCTGGGCATTATGTGTTTTTCCTATTAGCAAAATGAGTGAGTGTTGCTCTGCCCGCATTCCTTTGGGCAATAAAACCAGTGTTATCAGCATTGCCATGGAACCAGAGGCCTGTTCTGCCTTTCTGAGGTGTTAGATGCATTTCGGGGGAAGGGTCCATAGACCCTCATAGTTGGTTTGTTGATTGAGGGGTGTAACAGAGTATTTGTTAAATATAACTAAAAAATTGTGTGTCTGATTGGTCCAGATGCTACAACATGCTATAGATAAGAGTACACATGGAGGGAAATACATTTAATATAAATTCTGTTCCCTAAGAATATAAAGATTGGGATCAAAGAGATTTTTTAATGAAAAAGAAATGAATAGTTTTCAGCATGGACACATTAACAAGCTCAAAAGTGACAGTAAAGACATTTATAATGTTGCAAAAGATTTCAAATAAATGCTGTTCTTTGGTTTTTAATTACCAAAGAATCCTGTATTATGGTTTCCACAAAAAGTGTAATCAGCACAACTGTTTTCAACAGTAATTATATTGCATCACTGTCAAAGTTTATCTGGCTAAAATATGGGATATTCCAGCCCGATTTCACGGCAATTCGTACATATTTTACGAGGTGGCTAATATGTATGAATTCGTACGACCTCACTCGTACAAATGCATGCGATTTTTGCCAAATCATACGTATTTTATGAGTTGCACAATTCGTATGAATTTGTACGAATGACCTACACCTAGCCCCGCCCCTAAACCTACCCGTCACTGGGGTCTAGACAAATCGTACAAAATCATTTGAGTGAGAATTAGCCACCTCGTAAAATACATACGAATTGGTCGTGAGATAGCGTTGGATATTCAGGGCTCATTAAACCTCTAATTAAAAAAAAACTCTCAGTTGATCATTTGCTTAATGTTTTTATCTTTTTCAGCAAAGGAATGTGTAATGAGCAATATAATTTATGACAATTAGCAGACTTACAGTAAATCTATCATCTAAAGGCATAAGGATATTTGAGGCTAAACACTTCAATATAAATATTTGTAAAAATATAAAAGTATGACAAATAATTTAATTTATTATTAAAATAATGTATTTTTTAGTTACATTTTCGCCCCTTTTAATCTGCTTTTTGCATTCACTAGTTTATTAGGAATGCTTGTGCAGTATGACATTTATTTTTAATAGCACTCAAGACAATACAAGGTCATGAAAACTGCATGTGCAATAATTACAATACAATTTAATTTTTACATTTGAGCTTAGCATGTCACACTGCAGAACTTACAATATTGTTTCCAACAGTTAAACTCCTATATACTAGATTATTATCCACACAAATAACAAAGATAACAGAATGCAGAACAGACAGAACAAACTCTTTGTTTTGCCAAACAGATCAAACTTATTTTATAATGAAGTACTGCATTTTTTGTCAGATAACACATTTATCACCAGCCAGTTCTCACATTAATACTATTAGTATTTGCTACACTGATTACAAATTTAGCTATTATAGACACACTGCTGAAACACTGTAAAAGCTTGTTTGTCAAAGTTCCACAAAGGAAGATCGTTTGATTCTACATGATTCTGTAGATGTACAATACATATTTATAAAGCCTCTCATTTCTTTTTAAGCTTCACATAATACAATGTTTTCTCAAGCCACAGGTTAAAGAAAATGGCAGTGTGAACATTGCATGGCACGCATGTGGCTCAATATCTCTGCAGGCTTCTTTTGCTTGGAGTTACTTTCTCCTAGCAGCAGGGAGAGAACTCCACCACTTAATCCAGAAATTGAGGATATAGCGAAAAGAACACTATGCAATACAAAAAAAACAACAACAACAACAAAAACAAGGCAATACTGGACTGAACTGAACTGAACTGAACTCTCGGTCCAGTATTTGTCAAGTACAAATCATGATTCATATGGTCAATTCGAGTGACTCTTTTGTTTTTTGTAGCTATTCTATGTACTTCCTCCCTGCGGTTTCCTTCCTCTCTATTCATCTCTTCTCAGTATACACCTCTCTTTGTTCCACCAGTTTCCTCATTGTTGGCTCACTATGGGTTTTCACAGTCAATTCAGTAAATTGTGTTTCCTATGTGGTGTGTATTACTGTGTATTACAATGTGATTCCATTTGTCAACATGCTATAGATAAGATGAGGAAGGAAATAGTGTATATTTAATATAAAAACAATTTTTATAATACACCATAAATATAATACTTTATCATTCTAAAATTTGGGTTCAGTATTTTTTTTCTTCGACAGAAATTAGCAAGGGCACACTGAACTCGTCAAAAGTGAGAGTAAAGTCATTTAAAAGATTTCATATAAATGCTGTTCTTGAAATTTGTATGCACAAAGAAATCCAGAAAAAAAGCATTCCAACTGTTTTCAACATGTGCTAGTGTATATTTGTTACAGCATCTCTCTCAGTCACATGCACACAATAGTCACTAAATAATAGCAGCCAGCTATAGGCAGTCAAAAATGAAAATATGAATGGAAAAATGATTGGCCTTGTTCTTTGAGGAAAGTACAATTACATGTCATGCAGCTATCCATGAACAAAACCAGATACCTGGCAGAAAAAAACACCAGCAGCAGCATTTCATTTCTCAAGAAATGTTACAAACCCAACAGAAGCGGGAATATTCACAAATTGCCTCTTCCAGGACAATACCTATCATGATATACTCACCCCACCCGATCAAAGTGAAGCCCCACAGGTACTTAGAGTCAGACAAGAAGGCCATGAAGATGAGGCTGTGCAGGTACAAGCCCTCCACCAGGATCCAGTAGTAGTTTGTAGCCAGGAAATAGATGAACAGCAAGACGGTCACTTTACAACCCATCTAAAAATGAAGAGTGGAGCAGAAAAAGTCAACACTCATATCACAACATGGCAGTTTTGATTAAACAGTTAAACACATAGTGGCTGAGGAACAATACTTTAGCTGTGACAAACATATTTCCTACTCTCAGTTGGAGGCCACCAAGATGAACAATCTTCTATTGAGATGCCTCAGTTCAGACTGACATAAGACAGAAGAGCAAAACAAACCAATATGCTTTTGTTTGGTTTGCTGATTTGGTACAATTAGTACAATCACATGGGGTTCTTTAGATCTTTAGATCTAACCAAAGACTCTCTAATGTACTCTTATTTGTTTAAACACACTGCATCAGTACATGATCACGCAGATTCAGAGACAAAAATGTTTTATTTAAATAAAGGGATATCTTACCCAAACAATGAAAATTCAGTTTACTCACCCTTTTAATTATTCTAAACCTGTATGACCTTCTGTGGAACATAAAGGAAGATATTATAAATAATGTTTCACCTTTTGAAAATCAAAATAGAATTGGACCCCACTGACTTTCACTGTATGGACCAAAAAAAATCTTCTTTTGTGCTCCACATATGAAAGAAAAGGTGAACTGTCACCTTTAAGTCCGCTCTGTTATATTCTACAAAAGTGCCCACGTCATGAATACTCTTTTAGAATAATTAGCTCACTATCTTCTTTTAAAATGACACATTGTCTGTAAAATGACAGAAACAGTCTTTAGGACAGTAGAAGTGTGACTAAATGACAACCTTTCACTACAGTCAGCTGAGTGGCTGTATGCTATAGTAGGAGAGCTGCACTTTAATGAAGCTATTAGCTCACTACCATGACAGATGTGTGTGGTTAATGGCCATAAAGCATTTCCAAACCAATGAACTGAATTAAAAGGGATTTCACATCCCACATCAAAACATTATCAAAGCTTACTTAGGATGGCTATTTCTCTCTTTAATATCAGGCACATTTATAAGGTTGTTTTACTCTGACAATATCTTGGAATCAAAGCCCAAACGGATGTATACATCCCCCACGCACTCTTGGTATTCTATCAGGCAAACTCATGAAGTCATGAAGCCTGGAATCTTTTTCGAGGAGTATTGAAAGACTTCCTATATGTACACCAGGTACTCTGGGTTACGTGGATGATGTGTTAATAATGATAAATCTGGGGTGCTTTTTGATGAAAATCAAAAGAACACATTTGATTTTTTTGTATATATTCTCTATGAATTAACTGATCATATGAAGATTTGGCTAGATAATCAAATTGTTATGAAAATTCAACGTCTTTCGATTTTGCTAAAGGATGTAATGTGTTTCTAAAGTGCTGAATGGAAACTCTTGGCATGTAATAAATTGTTTTTGTTTGTGGGTTTGGCATAAAGTGTATTTAATATGTCCTATTTTGGCAAGAAATTAATGTAAAAAAAAAAAAACTGACCACACTGAACTAAAAAAAGTACATTTTGTTTTTAAATAGTTACCAAACATTTGTGGACTAAAGGTATTAAAAGAACAACAGCCAGTTGTAACAGATCAAAGCTACACAAAATATTCTTGATACTGTATTATCTCTTAAAGGGGTCATATGATGCGATTTCAAGTTTTCCTTTCTCTTTGGAGTGTTACAAGCTGATTGTGCATAGATAAGATCCCTGAAGTTGCAAAGACTAAAGTCTCAAAATCAAAGAGATATTCTTTATCAAAGTTAAGACTCTGCCACGCCCCCCTAAAATGGCTCGTTCTAATGAAGCTCGCGTTTATGGTAAGGGGCGTTACATTTCCGACGCGTGCTTTTGGTGTTCGGCCAGTCACAATGCACTGGGTCAGCTGGCCAGTCAGAGCAGACTGCGCTTGTCAAAGGAGGGGGCTTTGTAGAAAACGAAGCGTTTGAGAGAGGCGGGGCATAGAGGACCTACAATAATGTACAGTATTTGAAAAATAATGTGTTTTTTGAACATTAAAGCATGTCAACATATTCTGTTACACCAAATACACAAAATAATGATCTTTAAAAAAGCTGACCCCTTTAAAAAATACATTTTTGTATGGAAACTTTTGGCATTAAATAAATTATTTTTGTTTGTGAGTTTGATATGAAGAATTTGAGTGTTCTGTTATGCCAAAAAAAAAGTAATGTCAAAGAAATGCACTGCACTAAACTAAAAAAGAACATTTTTATTGTACCGTATAAATAATTCAAACAGTTAAAGAAAGCACACTCTCACTACCATTAAAGACCAGACAAAAGGTTTTATATTATCAATAGAAGTCTAATGTGAGCATCACTGAAGTTACAAAGTGGATCAGACAGCACACAGACACAATCAGTGTAAAAAAAAACACTGTTAATCAAATGAATAAATTCACTGTTAATAAATGTTGCACTGTTGCACTCACTGTTGAACAGACAGATAACAGTGAAAGGAGTGAAGAAGGGGAAAGTACAGTAGCAATAGCACAAGAATCTGCTTGGAAAACGTTACCTGTGACCAGAGGCGGACAAAGTACTCAACTCCATCACTTGAGTGAAAGTACAGATACTGCTGGTCAAATATTACTCCATTACAAGTAAAAGTTGTAAAGACAGATTTTTACTTAAGTAAAAGTACAGAAGTACTTGCTTTTAAAAGTACTTAAGTAGCAAAAGTAAATTTCCTTTTTTATGTCAATGCACATATTTTTTATTGTTGTACGTAATACTTGCAATACCTCTGAAGCAACTTACAATACAGTACACCTACTGAATACACTGATTAGCTTGTATCTTTGGAATAAAGAGCTTTTAGAATGTTAAAAACCTATGGGGGAAAAAAACAAAACATAAATAAATATATAAATAAATAAATAAATATTTAACACCC